CTCTCTCATATTGATCCAAATTAAGTTGAAATTTAGAGTTAAGCTTTTGCATATTGTTCTAATTTAATAATGAATAATTTTATTATGTTGATTTGTCACCCATGGAAACTACTTGGTGTTACAGTATGTGACTTTCTGGTCCAGAAATAGACAGACATAAACATTGTTTGGCATATTTAGAAATGTTGATTTCTTTTCAATTAATCATGATCAATCATGATTCATTTGAGTGTGAAAAGCCCCACAAATACATCAATTAAATAACACGAGAGTTAGCTTAACGCATTGTATAATTATTATAGAAAACCAGAATTCAGGTACCTCTCCTTTTGTCTCCAAGTTTCAGTGTGGGTATTAGGTCGAGAGTGGTTGGAATGGTAAACAAAGGCCACAACAGTGTGTGTCTGTCAGTGGAAACATCTTAACACTGACTGACTACCTGGGCTGAAGCAGACGGTGGGCTCCTCTCCACAAACAGCAGCCTGGGAATGCAGGCCTTTGTGTGTGCTCAGGTAAGCTCACCTGAATGGGCCTGAATCCCCAGGAGACGAGGGGAGAGCTGGTGTCTGCCAAAGTGCAACAATTACTGACTGACTTAGAATTACACACTCTCTTCAATACACACTCACTCACTCCAATTTTGTTCTGAACGAGGCACTTTCTAGGTGATTAGGCTTTAAAAGCCCATCCACCTCCACTGGTCAGTGCCCAGGTGTGATGTTTCTGCAACGCAAATGAGTTGAAATAGTTTCACTCCTCTGTGATTTTCCGTTCACACTTGACGAGCAAAACAAATAGCGAGAGAACCTGAGCACTGATGAAGAATAAAGCCCTGTAATTTCATTTTTGTGCCATCACACAGTGGCAGTTTCCTGAAATAAAATATTAAGTGGCATCGGTGACAGGGCAACGACACAGAAAATCACCCATAATTATATAGATCCGCTATATTTACGACAGTGGTCAGTGCAAATCTAGTGCGATTTGTCTTCTAATTCAAAGTCTGCTCCATTATTGCAGAGTCAAATGTGGCTGTGTGTGAGTCACACGCTTTGCGACACTAATTAAAACGTACAAGTATGTTTGGGAAGCAGCTTAATTGGCAAGTTCTTCCTTGAAGTGATAAGACCATCTGGTGTTTTCACTTTATCGAGCAAAGTTTACACAGTGAAAGTTATTTTCACATCCAAAGCAAATATATACATTTATACTTATATCGGCAAGAAATATAGATATATACTGTATATATGTCGACAGGAAATGAAGCCAAGGTCATATTTTTCAGCCACTGCTTGCAATAACAGCCAAAAATGAGGCAGAATTAGGTCAGACCCAGCGTAGAATTAAATTTGAGCTCACTTTCCACAGTTTAAACAACATTTGAAGTTGCTGATGTATGGATGCCAAGACACACTGAGCCTCAGCTCCATGTTACAGTCTAATCTAGTCTCTAACAAGACCTAAATAAGCGTCCAATTTCAATAGCTAAAATGACTCTTTTGTCACATGATAAACTGTAAAAAGTATATATTAAATGTATTATTTAATTTGTTCAAAGACAGTGTATAACTGTCATCTCTCCTCCAAATACAGCAGCTCGACTCAAAAAAGTGAGTTGGTGAGAGAGAGGAATAGACAGAGTTCAGCTGCTGCTCCAGTGAAAAACACTGTGTTTGACATTTCTCCAGAACAGTGCCAGTCATTTCAAAGGTGAGTCAGTAAAATCCCACAGGACAGAGGTGGGGAAAAAAAGACCAAACTACTGCCCGTGTTTTTGAGGAACAATGGTAAACAGCCTCATTAGTTTATTTGGCCACCTAAAATGCAAAAGCAACATATTCTGTGTGAATCCCTCCTCACGATGACAACCCAGCCAATGTTGGCTAAAAAGTCTGATTTTTTCAGATGGGCCTTTGCTTGTATTTGGGAAAGTGACAACACTGCCTGCACAATGTGTCCTCTTTGTACTATAGCAGCCAGAGCAGGTTGGAAATCAACAGGGAGCGTGAAGGTAGCCTTCCTCACACGTGCAGGAATACGTACTAAAGATCGTTTAATCGTTGATCAGCCATCAACAGCAGGGGCATACGGTACGTTTGCATAAAAACGTAAGCACCGATTTGCATCTCGTTCCTGCTGCTTGTACAAAATTCCTAAAGCTCACTCAGCAGCTGTGACATGCAAAACAACTTTTCACCCCAAAACCCCCAGAGGATTTGGTAAATTTCCCAATGAACTTAAAATGAAGTGAGAATGTTTTCTACTGAGGAACATGACAGAGTGCAGCTGTGTGCCAGTGTACACCATTCAGCTCCGGCTCTACCCAACTGTTCAAAGAGCTGGAGGCTTCGTCTGGGGATTTATGTCAGCCACCAGTACTGCTTAAATGTTATTTAAAAAAAAAAAAAAAAAAAAAAAAAGCTCACTGACTGCCTCACAGTCTGAAATGGAGTGTGGAGTCCATCCTGAAGAAGAGTACTGATCACTGCTGTCAAGATATTTAAAGGATGTACTCATTTGAAGTACAGAGTAAATAAAATAAAACTAGCATTGAGTCTAAATTTTGCACATTTTGTTGTTTTTTTTTAATTATTTCTCATTATTTGTCGTTCATATATTAGAGTCGTATTTACCCAGCTGTTCAGATGGCCCTAAGATAATTTAAATATATTCCAGTAATAGAGTGGAAGTGTTCTAACGATTCTCTCTTTGTCTGTTTCTTATTTCTCTCTTCGGGGTTCACAGACTTTTTTCAGCACTTTTAAGGTTTTTTTTTAATCTTTTCTGGTAAATGACCTGAACTGAATTAGTTCACAGATTCTTTAATATAACCCCCATGTGATTACAATTTTTTAACTTTATTTGGTTGTATTTATCTAAATAATAATTGGACGTATTTATTGCCTTTATGTAACAGTATAACATGTTATCTTAATGCATGATGCAGGAGTGTTTCACATTCCACAGCTATACTGCAGGCATGTAGACAGGGATACAAAGAACACCTACAGGTAAATGGCAGGCTTTCCATTTTTTAGAACTAGTCCAGATATATATGTATACACTGTATATATGTATGAATGAGGATAGGTGAAATCTGAACCAGAGCTACTGCACCACTGCTGCCCCTCAATAGAAAACAAACAAACAAACAAATAACACTAATTTGTATTTCATCTGTATTAATACTAATTTTACAACCTTACAAAAACCCTAGAAATATTTTTGGGTTTTGCAATTGTGTGTGTTTTACAATAACTTTAATTGGAAATGTTTACTCGGCTGTAAAAAGGCTTTTTACTTAAGCAGCTTTATTTTGCAAAAGAAAAAAAAAACGCTGCAAATTGTTAAACCCTCCATCAAGCACTTTGAAATTCAACAGAAACCTCAGGCACTGCTTGAACTCTGTTGCTTTCTGTTCCACCTCTCATCTAATGAATTTAAAAAAAAAAAGCCATTTTAGGGAGAGAAAGGAGAACCTTTATTTTAACTGAACCAACACATCCTCGGAAAAATAAAGCAAGAGTTAAAGCAGCAAAAGTGTAATAAAGTATTTAACTCATGTCCACTGAATGTATCCCTGGTTTCCACTTGACACAATGGTTGAGAAAGGGCAGAAAAACAACTATTATTGGATGCACAGATGCCGTCGTACATTCCCCTATATAGAAAATGGTGGAAAAGTGACAGAGACACAATCACTTAAGACAGCAATAAAAGAGACTCTAATAAAAGGTGCTATGATTGGACATAACACATCTGCCAACAGCTCTGGTAAAGAACTGCCACTCTTACCTTCTGATACAACGTCTCGTACGTTTATAATTACTAACCTATCATTCATGTGAAGTGAGGAATTAATATTATATTGATTAAAAAAATGACACAGAACACATGTATCGAGGGCCATACAGGTACTAGGAGATGTCCACTGTACGGACTCATCACCACTGGTCCCGCAGTCGTGCGTGCTGCTGAAGCTAGTTAACAGCACCGTCGTGAGTGCCCCAGTGCATTCACTGCTCCTGATTATATATTTCCATTCTAAGAGAAAGGGCTCCACTAATTAGTCACTTGTGAAATCATCACTTTTCCGCACCAGGATATCCTCTGAACACAAAACAATAATGAGCAGTCACGGCTGAGGTCCCCAGAGTGAAAGGAAGGATACACACAAACGTTCCGATATTTAGTGTAATACGCAAAAAAGGTGTTGTGAAATAAACATTTTCAGCAGTTCTCGTGTTTATATAACCCACATCAGAAACACAGCATATAAATAATGTATTTTCTGTACTCCGAACTCACTGCATGCCTGATTTCTTTCCCACTCGGGCAGAAATAGGTAGAAAGTCACTGGTTTCATGAAAATTTCCTATCAAAACACACATTATTCCACTGTAGTTCTGCTAAATTAAATCGCAGTGTGATGGAACACATTAGAACTCCTCTTCTGTTGTTAAATCTAACATTTCAGCCTTCACTGAAGAGCTGAATCAAAACATCTATATCATCAGGCAGTAGAGACTGATATTCAGTTAGAATTCCTTATACATACATGAGTATGTCAAGGGCTAGCTTAACAAATGAAACAAATCTGCTGGGTTTTCACCTTCCCATTTCAATTTGTTTACAATGTAGTAGACTGGAAATAGATACGTGAAAACACTGAATATTGTTTCAGTTTGACTTTTTCAACATTTTTGGAGGGGTTAGTGGACTTCACAAAAAGGACATGAGAATTAAAAAGAAGTTAGATGGAGTCAAATGATCCAATGTAGTGACCTCTGAACTCCCATCAGCCAGTTCAGCATCAACAACACAGCAAGGCCATTAACACGGCTGAGCTTTACTACAGATTTACCTTTTACTGAAAAGTACATTGGAAAATATTTTCAACCCATGCCAAAAAGGACATGGATAATGCGAGCAGTGTTGTCAACAAACAAAAAGCAATTACATAAAGAATACATGTAAAATATTTAAATGAATTTTCTTACCATTATCCACAACGGAAAAAGAGAAAATGTCACTTGTGGCATCGTCACCATCCGTCAGAACATAGCAGACGCTCATGTCATCAATTTCAGCTGAAAAAGATATTGATTAGCATAAATAACCAGGTGCTTCAAAGCATCACAATCAGTTGTTTAGCTTTTTTTTTTTTTTAAAAGAACTGGGAAAAGAGGTGTAAATAGCTTCCTGGCAGATTTGGTCAATATTCACAGCTGAGACTGTGCTATTAAAACCAGACTGAGGCTGTGAGATTGACTGAAATGAGTGTGATGCAGTGTCAGTTTCATGTGGTTCTAAAAGAAGAACCCTAGCTCTGTATATTGATAAGGCTCCTCGATGACAGTGGACATAAATAATGGTCTGAAAACTGGGATCTTTATCTCAGGAGTCTGGGTGCTATCCTTGTGTCGCCTGGATTCAGAATGTAGAGAAAGCGTTCATCGCCTTTCTGCTTTTTTATTACAACAAACAAAAAATACAAGTAGTTTTGTTCCTTTACCAAAGACCTGGTGATGATAATAACTGCCTACAGACTTTGATTAAAGTCTAATAATGCAGGGGTACTGTATTTGTATTAGCAAGAGCCGCTAGTTGTCTGCAATCAGTCTGCTCAGTGCTTTGGAGACAAATGATGGACCACTGTGAAAGTCCCAGTCCCACTGGCTTCCCTAGATCTTTGTAGCAATGCTTCACAACAACAATTCTAAAAATTGGTATACAGTACATGATGACTTTGTTTTATAACTTTTCTTTCGCTTAAATTTAAGCTTATTGGGATTCATATCATCTTTTACTGTAGCTGTGATCTCTGACAGAAGATATTGTTCATCTTTGTTATTCTCCCAGTTTCCTTTAAATAAACACTAGTGTCGTGACTTCTGCCCTCTCACCAAAACCTTTCCTGATCAACTGTAGCTGGGGTCAGATTGGCTTCACTCTGATGAAGTTGGCAGATGCTGAGCTAAGCCCTTCACAGACATTTTCTGGTCTCTCAAAAAAAGAAAACTGCGAGAAACTTTTAATCATATTTTTAAAGATTACTTGGCCTTCTGCTCTCTTTTTCCCTTTTCATTTTTCTTCATCTTTGAGCTTTGCTGAGTTTTTAAATGTCTTTATAACCACTCCTAGTAAACAAACCCTTTTGACCCTGATGCATTTATTCAGAAGTATGAAATAACATGTTTTTTTACTTTAAATCGGAAGACTATTTAAAATAAAAAAAAAATAGACTATTCAGCATACATTAACCCATGACTCACATTTCATAATAAAAACTTTACTTTTTAATAACATATAAAATCTATGTAAGTTTTTAAAACCATTGTGTCTGTACTTTGAGCAATATCCAAAATTCTGCAGTTAGAAAATGACAAAGTCTAGGAAGAGAAAAGTATCAGAAATATAACTACAATCTGAAAGGTCTGAAGCAAAACATCAAAATAATTGCATAAAAAATTTTGAGGAATAAAGTCAGAATTCACAATACCTTAAAAATAACTAAATACAGCCTGGTCACTTCAGCATAACTCAGCTCAACTTCTACAGCACGGTCTACTGTGAAAGTTAAAATGTTCTGCAAATAGAGGTTTACTTTTGAGAAGCCCTTGAAATATTGAGCAGGCCACTTCAGAAAAGAATCTCACAGAGACTTGGTAAATAAAAGCACAGGGACCCACAGATATTGACTGCACACTCATGCTGTCAGACCAAAGCACTTCTCTTGTCTGTTTGATATGTAATGTTTTCACTGTGGCTAATGTTTGCAGTGATTCTCTTTTAGCACTCGTTCTCTTCCTGACACAGGTGCAACGTTTTGTTCCATAATCTCCGCTATTTTCCGTTAGAAATTATTATTCTACTAATGTTTAAATCCCTGTTAGTTTTCCTTTACTAAAGTCAAATAAGAGTAAGCAGTGGTACTGCTGTGCCTTAACCAACTGAGGCACTGTTCAGCCTGAGGCACTGACATACTTCATCTCAGTGAACACCTCTCTTGAGGAAAAAACAAAAACTTTGTCTAAAGTCACAGGAGAGTGCTTTTGAGTGTGTCAATGTGGAATTAGGATTCAAGTAACTCTCAGAAATAAAAGCTGTCATACAAGAACAAATGTAAATATAACGATTTAAACAACAGGGATATTTAAGAAAAAAAGAAAACCTTCGTTTACCTTGTGTGAAAGTGGTGACTGTGGCGTTTCCCTTGCTCAGGTTGATCAGGTAGCCGTGTTCAGGGGCGACATCTATCCTAAATGTGACGCTGTTCCGAATGCTGTCTCTGTCCTCTGCTTTAAGAGATTTGCTGGTGATCACAAAGCCCAGGTGGCCGCTCTCCAGAACACGTAACGTGGGGGCACCCTTGTTCACCATGATCTGTGGTACCCCGTTGTCCACTGGGAGTACAGTGATCTTCATCACTTGTGCTTTTCGAGTCTCAAACACCGTGTCAGGGAAGACAAAAAAGTCGGTGTGAGTTCCGTCGGTGACAGTAAAGGAGAAGCTGTCCTCTGCCGTCTCTGTGCCATCATGCCTGTAGCTAATCATGTTCTCATTCAGGTCCAGCTTTGTGAAGGAGCTGACCGGTCTGGTGTTGTTGAAGAGCAAACGGCCATGAACAGGGATTTGGGTAATGGTAAACTTCAAGAAACGGTCAGTGGTGTCTCTGTCTTCAACCGTTAACTCGAAAGGAGTGATGAGTTTGTTCTCCCCTTCAGTCACAACCAGACCGTGCACGGTCACCACAGGCTTTTTGTTGTCCACGTCAGATATGGAAATACGGAAAGTGCGGAACACAGGGTTGTACCCGTCCGTTACTTCGAACTCAAAGCTGTCCATTTTCACCTCATCGTCTGCAGTGTGAATGTAGTAGATTTTGTTGCCCGCCAGCTGCAGCTGTGTAAAGGATGAGATGGGCATCCCTGGTGTGTCGGTGCACTCCAAGTGGCCTCTCACTGGAGCTCGAGTGATTGTGAAAACCAAGTGTTCGTCTGGGCTATTGAGGTCACTGGTACTGAGTAGGTCTGTGGTCAGGGTCACCCTGCCTCCTTCTTTGAGGGAAACACCTTTACTGACCACATCAGGGAAAACCATATCAATGCCACCTACAGTCACGTAGAAGTATCTGTCAATTAAAGGATTTATTCCATCTGTAACATCAAATTTGATGAGGTCCCGAATCCCTTCCTGTCCATTATGGATGTACACGATCAAACCTTGATCCACTTCATTCTGAGTGAAGTTCATTCCAACTGTGATGTTTAACAATTCTCCTGAGGGAGTTGTTCTCTGCAAGAAACCCTGACCAGGACCGTAGCGAATAATGTATGTAAGTGTGCTGTCTTCAGAGTCCAGATCTGTTGCTTTTAAAACATTATTATCTATCACTTTCACGTCTCCTATTTCAATCTCAAGGCCGTCATTTATGGCCATTCTTGGTGTTTCATCATCCACAGGAATAATCATAACTAATACTGTTTTCTCCACGCTGAACTTCCCATCTGTGAGAACAATATCAAAGCTGTCCTCTGTAGTTTCTGAGTCATCGTGCTCGTACACTATGCTGGAGGCCTCCCTTATCTGATCCAAGGTGAAGTTAAAGACAGGGACGGAGCCAGTAGTGAGCTGATTATGAATAAATCCATGCTTTGGGGGTTTGGTGATAATGAACGTGAGCTGATCAGCAGGGAAATCGGCATCAGCACCATTCAGGATTGGAGTATCAATGACTATGTTCATGCCTTCCATAACTACAAACTCTCTCATGTACAGTTCTGGCTTCTCATCATTAGAGGGGATTATGGAGATGGGGAAAAAATGCCGTTCAGAAAAATTTATGCCATCAGAGCATCTGAATGTAAACCTGTCCTCCACCGGCTCTACCCCTCTGTGGATACTTTGAACATAGTAAATGTGATTCTGTCTGATGTCCTTGATCGTGAAAGCGCTAATAGCTGTTCCAGACCTGGATTTTTCAGAGCCTGGGGCCGGAGAGATGTTTTCTACATAGCCTGAAGTTGGTTGTACAATGATAGTACAAAGGAGGTCATCGTAAGGGGTGTCGACATCATCAGCACTTATGTGAAGAATGCGTATTACATTCTTCTCTCCCTCAAGAACAGTGAACTGTGGTCCAACAAAGACCTCTGGAGCCTGGCTGTCCAGGGGTAGAATAGTGACATGAACTCTGACACCTGTGATTTTGTTTCCTCCCACAGTCCACTCATCAGACATGTCTGTCAGAGTCAGGTTGAAAATGTCCTCTTTTGTGGCCAACCCGATCTCCCCGCTGGTATGAGCATATACCACGTGGCCATTAATAATATCAGCTTGAGTGAATGTGCTGGATAGAACACCCCTCACCAGAATTTTACCTAATAAGGGTGGGTCCTCCACAATGAAGGTCAAACGAAGGTCATCTGTGTCTTCATCTCTGCCCTGAATGACACTGCTTGTAATTTCTGTGGCTCCATTTTCCAGTACATCAATGTAGGAGCCAATTGTTCCAGCAGGCAGAGTGATGATTGGAATCTCATCGTCTACTGGCTTGACGTTAATTTTAACAACAATCGGAACGACATGGACTCCATCACTGACATCTATTTGTATTGAGTCAATTGTTGATTCAGCTCCATTATGTATGTAAGAAATTCTGTCACTCACAATATCATCGAGTTTAAAAGTGTCTCCTTTTGTCATGTCAGTGAATGTAAACTGGAGATGACCGTGCAGTGGTGGTTGTGTTACAGTGAACACAATTTGCTGACTGTCTGTGTCTGTGTCTGAGGTGTAGAGCTCTGTCCTGGTAATGATATGCCTGCCACGTTCAAGCAAAGTGAATCCAGAGTTGGTTATCTGAGGCGGTGTATTGTCCACAGGTTTTAAATATATGGTGAAAATCCCATCTGCACTATTTCCAGAAACATCCTCCACTATGTATCGAAACTGCAAAACGTGGGTGGTAATTCCAAGCTCCAGGTCAGGTGGTCTGTAAGCTATTTTGTGGTGATTAATTTGAGCCTGAGTGAAAGATGTGACTTCAGTGTTTGGCCTCTCAGTTAACACTAAAGCCCCTAGAACAACAGGGTTGTTCTCGTCTGTGTCAGTTGGTGGGTGAATGATTGTGTATTTTAAATCCCGATCATCTGAGTCCAGGTCTGTGTAACGGAGGAATTTCTTCCGCAGGAAAGTGAGCTGATACTCGTGCACAGTCATTTGCACTGTGGTGCCAGGATAGAGTTCAGGTGGGAGGTCATCAACAGGGAGGATTTTAATAATGAATGCAGTCTGACCTGATTGGTTCGGTGGGTCATTGTCATCTTGAACTCTAAACATAAACTGATCCATCACGGTGCTGGTGCTGTGGGGCCCGATGTGCTTGTAAAACAGTTTCCCGTCTGTAATATCCTGCTGCAGCCATTCAGACACCACTTTCTCATACATTTCATCATCTGTATTAAACTTCCAGGTTGATGGGTCCTCTGGGGCCTCGGATTGACGCAGCAGCACCTGACCAATTGTGGAGAAGGGAGCATCTACTATGAACTTTATGGTAGAATCCTCTGAGTCAATGTCAGCTGCACTGAGCATTAGAGAGGAAACTGGCATCATTTGATTTTTGAACAAAACCAAACCTGTGTTGGCATTGATTATGGGTGGTTCGTCATCTGTGGGCACAACAGTGATGGGAAACAGGAACTCAACCTCATTTGTGCCATCTGTCATTCTGAAGATAATATTATCACTGTAAGTGTCACTGCCATCGTGTTGATAAATAGCTATTCCAGCATCCAGGTCATTTGGTGTAAAGAATTTCCTTCTTGAACCTAAAACAGTTAAATCTCCATGCCTCAGCCCGTCAATGACAGTGATTCTGACTTTGTCCAAATTGTCCTCGTCACTAATTTCCAGATTCTGGGAGCTGGACAGAGGCCTGGACTGACCCTCATAGAGTAACTGGCCAGTATTCCTAGTCACCACAGGGGCCAAAGTGTTCATGGGCTTAACAACAATCATGAAAGCAAAAGGGTCCGACACAGCCCCCTCTGTGTCCACAACCTCAAACTCAATCTGGTAAATCCGCTCAGTGTCTGAATCCACAGCGGGGGGTTTATAGGCGATTTTCAAGTCTTTTATGTCCCCCTGGTAAAATGAGGTTATTGGTAAATTCCTATCATCTGTGCTCACTATGTAGCCCTCCTCAAAAGACAGTGGGGACGTGATGTTGAAAATTAATTCATCAGGTCTAGACTCCACGTCCTCGGCAGCCAGCATGTCCATGGTTATGGCCGTCATTACAAACTGGTCTATTTCCATCATCATCATTGCCACAAAGCTAGGTTTAGGGGCTGTGTTCTCCTCTCCATCTTTAATCCGGACCAAAATTTGAAAAAATTCCTGCTTGAGCAAATTGCCCTCCTTATCATGTAATTCCACAACCATTGGAATGTAATCTCTGTTTGGAGACTTCAAAGCAAAAGTGTGCTGATAACGCATGTTCATTTTAATAAAGTCATCACAGTCGACCATTGTTCCCAGGGCGTCCCCATCCATCAGTTTGCCATACCTGGGCAGCACACTGCCACTGGAGAGGGAGGCTATTTTACACTGGTGTGCACCCCTGTCAAAAGTAAATTCTAGAATACGTCTATCAATAGGGTTACTCAGACCCAGCAGCTTTTCAACTGTGAGTGGCATGTTTTTGGTGAGTATTTCCAGCTGTGTAAAAACGACTTCCACCTCCATCATGAATGGTATAATGATTGTATCCGTCTGGGTGTCATACCTGAGCTGTAATCTCACTCTGTCCCTCGGAGGACTCCTGGAGCCAAAGTGTGAGTATTTCACGTCATTAGGACCAAATTCACAGGGAAACTTTTTGGGTGACAGGTGTCCAGGGCGTTGAGACAGCGGGTCGTTGTCCAGCACTGTAATACTGCATCTGTCGCCGGGCTGAACTTGAACCACCAGATCGTTAATGGGATCCACAAACACTGATCTCCCGAAAGGCACGCGGATCCCGTTATTGGCGACCAGTATTGTGTCCTCTGTCAGCTCCGAACGGAGCGCGTAAGATAATCCATAGCTGTCTACAACCTGCGCCAAAGCATCACCTGTCAGAATCACCGTCAGTACAATCAAAGCAGCGCCAAAGCCGTGCAGATGCGGGCAGTTGTTAATCCAAGCCATTTGTTGTGCGTGTGTGTGTCTGTGTGGAAGCGCAAAGGACACGCGTGGAACTTTGCGCGCACACACCCGCGCTGACTGGTCAACCTGCGGCGGTTAAAGTTGCAGCAATCTGAAGCCAGAGTTGGACAATAACATGCGGCGCCTGTGCACACTGAGATGCACCATTCTCTCACAGCGGCCGAGCAGTGAAACACCTAAACTTCATACTCCTGCTTTGTGAGAGTAGGCAGGGTTACGCCCCAGCAGCAGCCGATTGGCTCATATCTCCACAGGAATCCCTGTGCCAGGTTTTAAATGGACGTGGAGGGTGTCATTCTTGGAAGAAAAACACTAAAAGGCAGCCGTGTGGGTTGGACATTCTCAGGTTGGACAGTGGGTCTTATAGAAAAAGTGAAAAAATTAAGTAATGTCGTGGTTTAAGGTATTTCACAGTACATTTTCACACAGGGCCTTTGAACGCCACACTTGTGCATTTCACAGCTATTTAATCATCCAACACTATGACCAAAAGAATAGAATAAGAAAACACTAATGCAACTGCACGGTACATGTGGTCTAATGATGGGAGTTGGGGAAAAGCTTTGTCTCCCTCCTGTGGTCACCGCAGTCGAGGAGAGGAGATGTTAATGCAAAGTGAAGAATCCTGGTCAAACGAGATTGATTTGGTCATTATTCCTGTGTCATTCAGAATCTTATTCCTCCTAATAACGTAACGACTTATCTTGTTATAAACAGTCTACAAATTCAAAGCAAGTAGCTTCAAAATTTAAATGAAAGAAGAACCGAATAAGAACAGCTCTGTTCCGAACCAGACATCACAAATATCACACAGATCTAGATCAAGATCCAGGTAATACTGACAGGACATTAGAGTAAAGGCATAAGGATTATTATGTTGCTCATTCTAAAAGAATAATAAATTAGGACTTGTGCCTGTGCAGCTTTATTTCCCTTTTGACCAAATAATCATGATTATGGTTGTGAAAAAAACCAAACGCTGAAACAATGTTTCTAAACACATTAGAGAAGGGAATGGCATTAACTCTCTTGTGTACTGGTCATAGAAAACAAAAAACTGGCATGTACATTAACATACAAAAGTAAATCAAACAGTTGCAAGAAACTGGCAAAAATCTCTATTTATGAAAACAACAGTTAGTTATTTGTCATCCATTTAGATCTGCTGTTTTTTTTTTTTTTTAAAAAACAACTCCCACAAGCTGTTTTCATCAAAGAACCCTTTTGTAGAATTGTGTGAGCTGTCTCTCACACCAATTCAAATCCTGCTTCTTGCCTCGACTGGATCAAGTTCTTTTCAAATATCCTTTCAGTTTTGTGAAAATAAAAACAAAACTGATGTGTCTGGAACAAAACATGTTGCAAGGTTCACATATTTTTATCAGATAACTGTCTGAGTTTGGTTAAAAAAATGTTTGCTCTGATTTCTAAATTGTTTTATTTTTGAAGGTTGGAAAAACCTGATCAAATAAAAATTTAACGACTCAACGCTTCACAAACATATAATAAAACTTGTCAAAGCTTTTACGGGAACATAAAGATGTATGTCAGCCTTTTAACAGTTTCACATCTATCATGGAACTTTCTCTAGCGTAGTTTATGCTGCTTTGCACTTGGTTTTCTCCATGACTACCTAGCAGCTTCACGGCTAGCACGAGAACTCCAGTTGTGTTGGATAATGTGTCTGTCTTTTTAGTTAGACAGGCATTACTGCCAGAGCGTTTTCCTATTCACCCTGAGTTCCATTTGAACATGAAATCATAGAAAGATTTAGACAAAAGAAAAAAATGACTACATAAGAAAGAGTCAGACTGCAAAACAAATCTCACTGAGATTCCAACTGTGCTATAGGACCACACTTCAAAAGTTCTAGTTCTCCATGTCATGCAGTGACACCATTTTCCCATACTCTGAGATGCCTATCTCATCACAATGGTCCTCCACACAGGTGTCAAAGTTTCATGAGGTAGGAGCCCTCACCTCCCGTGTCTCCTGACAAGCCAAGCCATGATACAGCCATGATACTGTCTGTGCCACTCATCCACTGAACCGGTGCTGATTGCGGGGACAGGACAACTGTGCTGACACTGTACTGCACAGCAGGGCAAGTCAAAATGACACAATTAGGTTAAAAGTGGGTTTGATTTGTTGCACAGAGGTCACCTTAACACATTTGTTTGCTTTTGGAGAACCTGTTTATAGTCATCCATCTATCTATCTAGCTACAGAACAGTTCTAGAAATAGTTGCCCACTCTTCATTCCAAAAAGTGTGCTCCATCTGGGTTTGTTCTAATAATGACAATTGGAAAATTACATTTTTTTCATGGGCTATATACACCAATCTGCAGGTCACAAATTGGCCCCCTGTAGGGCATACCAGCACCTTTAGGGGGGAAATTAATACCTGTGATAGGGACTCTCACCCTCTTTAAAGAGTGACAGCTCCATATTTCTAGGAGAACTGACAAATTCCAAACGTAATGCAAATGTGATGTGACAGAATATCATCAAATATTTCCCCCACCACTAGAATAAGCCTCACGTTTGGGTTTGATTCGATTCCCGCTGTGACAGTGGCTGTCAGAACCGTCTCTTCTTCTCCTTTTCAATTTTTTCTTTTAACTAGGAACTGTCAAGGTCTAGAAGGCCTGGGGAGGAGCGGGGGGGGGGGGGGGGGCCAGCCTTGGTTTTTGCCAGGCTATATTTATAATTGCCCTCTGTCAACAATGCCTATTGCACAGCAACTGCAGGGTCTGTTATATTACTGTGCAGTGATTTCAACAAATGCCAGCTGGTATACGGAATGTACGTTAATAATACACCTCAAGGTAGGTGCAGACATAAAGGTTGCGCCCATGAGATTATGGACGTAATGAAAATGCTCTAAATGGGATCAAAGGTTGCTCCTAAAGTCAAATTCTTCCATGTGTGTTATAAGATGTCTAGGATTGTTGGCATTGGAGCATTCAGTAAAAATGTGCGTTGATCAAATGTATACAAAGGTTGTGGGGTAAGCCTAATGTACAGAACAGCTGCTACCTAAGACATAATAAATCAAAGTTTAATCAGATTTTGTCTAGAACGTAGCGACGCATTTGACAGATTTATAGAATGACGATATATGATGCTATGTCTGTAGGCTAAAAATGAAATTATTAAATCCTACTGTAGGTCTTTCAAGTATTTCCCAAGTACTCCAGTCAAAAATAATTTAACTAAATACTGGAAAAAACTACCTGAAAAGCAGAAATATAAAATTATTACTGCCCATAATATGTTACGGTTTACTCAGACAAAATAGCAAAAAAACCTCAGATTAGGCTGGAACTGGTGAAAGTATCATGGTAAAAACAAACAAAAAAAGGTTGGACCTAAATTAAAAAAAATTGATCTTCTTGGTAAACAACAAAAATAGAAAACAGGCAACCTGAAAAAATTAATTTAAAATATGTTTCTCAACAAGATAGATTTGCTGCCAAGACACTACCACAGGACAAAGTCCAGTCTGGAATTGCTATGGAGTTCTATTAGAATGTTTTTGAGCCCTGCATGACTAATGACTACAAGGCTGCAGACCATGAAAAATCTATACTGAAGGGGAAAACTCCAAGTCAAATTGAAGTCTGACCAAGACTAAAAACTACCTGGAGAAATTTGACACATACTAACATACAATTTAACCTAAATTAAATTATTTAGGTTAAATTAGGTCAGATGAGTAGAAACACAAAACCTTTACATTCTTTGATTTTACAGGTGCTGCTTAAGGATAAGGAAGGGATATTCATATAACCCATGTAACAGCATTCCCACAATAAAATATACAAGCAATAACATACAGGCAGACCTGTGAGGAGGCTTTAGTTCAGCTTGAACTGGGGATTTTGTGAGTGTGAAGGGAATGATAAAAAAAGAATGTGACATTTTAAAGGAAACTTTAAGGGCTCAGTGGAACACAAGAGATTAGATGGATAGATGGATGGATGGATGGATGGATGGATGGATGGATGGATGGATGGATAGATCGATAGATCGACACTCAAGGGTGTACAAGGATATATGATTTTCTACTGTATATCCCACCACTGTTCAGTTTTGTATATTTGCTCTCTGCAGTGTTTATTGGCATAACAATAGATGGTTTAGAGCTGCTCCTTTGTGCTGCTGAGTGCTGACAACAAAATATTTCCAACTGTTTGTTTGGGAGCCTTTCTGTTTTTTTCTGTGCTTTCTGTGAGCAGACACAAAGTTTGTTTTGCTTTGTGATGACACTAGTGACAGCTAAATGTGCTTTCCTCAGCAGCTCAAAGACACCTCCTGCCTTGTATAAAGAGTAAAAACTTCACAAAAGATGGCTTCCATAATTCAAAATTCTCCTTATTGTCCAATATTTACGACTTCGCCAACTACAACACCCGCCCCCAGCTGAACGTCCTGCCTGGCAAACTAGCATGTCAAACTGCAGGAGGCTTGAATCCCCTGCTGTCAGTGACACTGCTGTTATTGTAGATGTTATAACAGAGGCATACATCATGTTCTGAGCCTTGAGCACTAAAAAGTGACATTACCAAGCCAACCTCAGACATGGATAATGAGGCATTGTGGGGTAAATCAGCTGTGTGCTCATTCTAAGGTCAAATAAAAAGTAATCTCTCTGCAGTTTTTAAAATAAATTGGATACATTATATGATTCTGTGCAAAAACGAATTAAAAAATTAATTCATAGTTTTAATTAACATTTAACAATATTTGCCACCGCTGCTTCTCACATTTACCTCTCACTCCTTAGCAGCAGATGACTAAACACATGTTTTCTTCTCTCGTTCTTACTGTTACCTTATATCATTTTATTATAGAATAAAAATCATCACTGTTATGTTATCAACTCTGTGTGTCTCTATAGTCATCCAGCAACACAAAGTGACAATACTTTGGCAAATTCATGGCTTTACAGGGTCTATTTTTGAATATGCCTTTTCCCTGGAGACAATACAAACCAGACCACAATGAAATCATCAGGGTATTTTAGTTCATTGCGTATCTGTCAGGAGCAATTCTTTTGATCACTCAAGCTGGAATGCAGGCAGCAGTGCTCCCTTATAAGTGTCAATCATGTACAGCACAGAGGAACAACTCAGGGCCGCCCCCTGTCTGTATCCATCTTCCTCAGCTCATGTGACTCCAGGGACAAGGCAAAAGTAAAAAGGCAGTGGAAACAGTCCACTTTAATCATGTTCTCTGCCTGTGTTCAAATATGTCCCCAGTTGTATGCCAACGCAAGTCTCATGAGATTAATGTATGACAAGAGAGAAAAGACTGCTTTCAAGTCAAATAAGATTTATTTAAAGCATGCAACATAATAAGTAGGCTCATACCAAAGTGAAGTGCTAAAGAAAACAAAAGGATACAAAAATAGATTAAAACCAATGTAGGTGTGTGTGTGTGTGTGTGTGTGCCCTCTAACCCAGGTCTCCACTGAGTTAGAGGGAAAGTTCCAAAGTTAGTATATAGGTATATATAGGTTTAGAATTAGACACATGTTCATTTTGGTTCAGGTTAGAGCAGGAGGAGAGGGAACGAGTTATTGTTAGTCACAAACACTTCTACTGTACTACTACTAGCTACTGTAGTTTCTGTCACTGATCAGGCTGCCACTGATCACAGACTTCAATAGTTTGATCTTGAAATGAAAACTGCATTACAGAAGGCAAGTCATACAAAATATGTATTCCATTGATGCTAGTGAAAGGTTAATAGTACAGTATAGTAATAGTATTTTTA